TTTTTTTTTTTTTAAACAGTCTCACTGTGTCACCCTCAGTAAAGTGCCCTGGCATCATAGCTCATAGCAACCTTAAACTCCTGGCCTCAAGTGATCCTCTTGTCTCATCTATAGGCAGGGGCCATAATGCTGGGCTATTTTTAGAGATGGGAGCTAGCTGTTGCTCAGGCTAGTCTCAAACTCCTGAACTCAAGTAATATGCCCATCTCAAGTGCCCAGAGTGCTAGGATTACAGGCGTTTATACCAGAGTTTCAGATTCTTGGTCTCAGCAAGAAGTGCCGGACCACAGGATCAGTAGTAAGTCAGGATTTATTCAAATAAACAAAAATTACAACAACTACAAAAAACCAAACCTCCTGGCAAAGAGAACCCAGGATGGGAATAAGCTCTCCTGTTCCCCCTCTTTGTCTCTCTGCTCAGGGGTTATATAGTGGCAAGGGGTTGTTTTGCCAGAACTCAATGTTGACTTTTAAGGGTGTGCTAGTCAGTTATAGTCAGCTGTCAAATGAACTCTTAGGCCTTGGAAACGTACATGAAATTGACCAGTCAGAAGTGCAGGGGGAGGAGATAGCAAGGTGCCATCCATGAACTTGACCAGCCAGAAGTGCATGGGGAGGAGACAGCAAGGTGCCAGTATCTCGGGACTATCAAGCTAGATATCAAGCTGGTTCCTCCATCCCCCATAGCATCAACATCTCCAGGGCCAGGGAGGCAAGTCCTGGTGCCACCTTGTCCTGCATCAGCGTGAGCCACAGTGCCCAGCCCTTGTGATATCTTGTATGTATGTATAGATAGGAATAGATTTTAACATACACGTATATATCACAGAATTTGTAAATTTAATTATTATAAGTTAATATTGCTTAAATATCTCCCTGAATATTAGATGTCTAACCATAATTTAAATTTGTACCCTAGAAATAAATGATTCATTTTCCCTCAGTGGCATTAGAAGTTTGTTACTACAGAAGGAGACAAAACAACTAGTATTTCGACTACCCAAATATCTAGCCAAATATCTAGCTTAGAATTTAATTGATGAATTTGAAGAAAATGGGATGTTCTAAAGATTGATCTTAGCTGTGGCTTCTTTTTTAAATAGATTGTTTTCTTTCTCATATATTCTTGGCCCCACACATGCACAGCCTCCCTAACTAGCAACATCTTGTACTAGGGTGCAGTTGATACAACTGATGAACTGATACTGACCTGTTATTATCACTCAAAGTCCAGAGATTACATGAAGGTTCACTCTTCATGATGTATCACCTGTGGGTTCAGACAAATGTACAATGACATGTGTCATCATTGTCATATTAAACAGAATAGTTTCAGTGCCAAAAATCCTCTGTGCTTCACCTATTCATCCCTCCCACACCACAAACTCCGGCAACCACTGATATTTTTCTTGTTTTCACAGTTCTGCCTTTTCCAGAATTTCATATCATTAAAATCACACAGTGGGTAATCTTTTCAGATTATTTCAACTTCTTTTTAAAGTACATTTGATGAACCTTAGTGACAAAGGCAAGTCAGAATTAGCAACTCTTTTTGTGTGTTTACATACTTTCCAAAATGGTAAAAGTCATACACCCCATCTTTGTTTTTCATCTGTGCACATTTCTTCACAGACTTTCAGCTCCCAGTGATCAGGAACTCCATCTGTTTAATTTGGGGTCACTGGTAACAAATAGTCCCTGACTGCTATTTGATGAGAGTGGTCCTGTTAGCTATGTGTTCTTGGAATTAAGTCCTTAAGCATCTGACAGAAAAGTTCT